GAAGTTGTCGGATACCTCCACATGCTTATCCTACATTTTGTATATGCCATATTGGTAAGAATAGTATCGATTAGTTTCATAATGTCCGCATTCGTAGTTAGATAGTAAGCATGGGTAAGTTTTATTTCCAACATGTGTGTATTGATTTATGTGGTTTTTAGTTGAGTTTTAACACTATATATATATATATATATATATATATATATATATATATATATTATATTATGAAACAAGATACTAATTATGTCGACCAAATTTTGACAAGAGATTAGAGAATTTAAAGGTATTTTATGATGATCAGCATGTTTAGAAGTGAGCTTCGAAAAAAATGGTCACAAGCATACGACGAGGGTCGGCGATACGAACACATGACCATAAACCTTGCTAAGGCAATTAATTCAGTACTAAACGGTATACATCATCTCCCAATAGTGAGTGTGGTGAAGAATGCATATTTTAGGTTGGCTATGGTTTGGTCCGATAAAGGCAATGAGATTAAGTGTCTCATAAATAGAGGTCAAGCTTGGGCTCCTATAGTGGTGGAAGAAACGGAAGAAAAAGAAAGATTGACAACCTCAATGCTTGTTCATAAGTTCGACTGAGTTGTTCATTCTTTTTTTTATGTCATGTATACGCCGCAACGAATGAGGAAAATGCCAAACATTTAGAGTTGATTTACGACACAAATGGTGTGATTGTGGTCGCTTTCAGGCATGGAGATATCAATGTACTCATGCAGTCACTGTATGTATGTATGCTGGTGTGAGCGCATATAATTATGTTGATGAGTACTTTCACCTACATAGGATATTAAATGTCTACAGTTATGCGTTCAGACAGATCTCAAATTAATCATATTGGCAGAAAAAGGATCATGACGAATGACTGCCAAATCCAATGCTTCGTAGAAGTCCAAAAGGTCGACACGAGTCCAGTCGTACTCATACCAGTATGGATTTCCATGCTAGAGAGAAAGGTCAACCAAAGATATGCGGATTATGTAGGGGTGAAGGCCATTCAAAAAAGAAATGTCCAAATCTACCAAGATATAGTCCTCATCAGTAATTATATATGTAATTGTATGTACGTATATATTTGAATTTTTTATAATAATTAACTTGATTTTATAATATGCTTACATGTATATATATTTTTGATTTTATAATAATTAACTTATTTTATAATAATTTAAGTTAAGGTTAATGTTGAACCATGTTTTATAATATTTTGATATAACAAATTAAGGCAAAATGTTTTTGGACTTGATTGAATTTGTGCAAAGTTTTCAAAATTAATTCAAAGTCCATTAAATTAGAATTTGAACACAAAACAGTTTTCTCGGCACGTAGTACTGATATTGTTCTTATAGTATCGATACTACATGAACAGTACCGATACTGTTCATGTGGTATCGATACCAAAGGTAAGAGAAGTATCGATATTCTCAAGGTAGTATCGATACTACCAGTTGTTTTCCAAATTGCTCAAATTCCAAAATACAAAATAGGTACCGATACTCAAAATAGGTACCGATACTACTTTGCATAGTGGTATCGATACTGGACAAGCCCAACGGTCTTCAAACGACTAGTTTATTTAAATATTACAAATGTAGTATCTATACTCATTAAAGGAGTACTGATACTCTTTACTCCCTAAACTCAAAATAACATTTACTTATGTTAACAAAATAAAATACTCATATAATTTAAATATTTAATTTTAATATATAATAACATTTTATTTACTATTAATTTTTATACAAATAACAATTGAGTTTATAATTTTTGTCGATGTCGGGGTGTTGTGGAATGATAATGTCGAGGTGGACGTCTAATGTGTTGTGACCGTTGCGCTTGCTCAGGAGTATGGTACTCATCCTCCTCATTCATTGGGGGCATATCAGCTGGTGTTGTAATTATATGCCCACCACTATGCTCTCCAATTCCACCACTTTGCTCTCTCATCCTTCTTGGAAACGTAGACTGACAAATAGTCGTATTTAACATCATATATGTCATTTGTTCAAAGTCATACGTCGATTGAAGTTGTATAAACTTCGACATGTATGTCGGAACAGAAGAATCATCAAATTGTTGTGTTGCTTCCGCTTCATGTTGTTGAGATGAGATCCCACTTCCACTCAGTATAAATTTATCGGTTGTACCATATTTTTCTTATATTTTTTATAATGTTTCCTTTCTTTCAACGTCGTCAGGTACGACTTTCCATGATCCCAATAATACTGAAGGTAAGATGAACTCTCAAAATTAAATTCATCATCTTTCATTGGATCAAGAGGTGACACATATGAAGCTCTATTGTTTCAATCATTAATGTAGTCTGCGTGCTTCGTAACCCAATTCACGTTGTGCTTACTCGTCCATCAAATATGTGCAAGGGGTAATGATCCCATGGAATGGGCGGAATAGGTTGGTGGCACCCGAATTGCCTCAACACTCGATCCGCAAACAGTATCTCAACAATAGTAAAATTAATCAATGGTGGAACAACACCTCAATTTTGACAACCCTCCAAAAGCTCTAGCGGCACACACGCTAAAACTTCTGGCTCCATGTATGACCTCCAATTAAACTGTAAAATTAACATTTATAAAAATTAATTAGACATGAAATTATAAAGTTATAAATAAATCAATAAATATTATTTTATATTTAAATTATAAAATTACACATCCAAAAAATAATTCATTAGGCAAACTTATAAAATTACAAATAAAGAAATAAATATAAATAAATAACTTAATTTAAATAAATCCAAATAAATTTAATTATATACTATTATAAAATATATCTTCTTTTTGCTATAAATGTTGATCTTTAACCGAAACTCTTTGACATTAATATGCACTAGCCCCGTCATTTCTATTTTATACCTCCATATATTCATCAAAAAATATATTTGCTACTTCTTTTTAATCACAATAAATAAATTCTAATTAAAAATTTAAATTAAACTAGAGAAAATAAATATTACCTTCCTGCAAGAGGAAAATCAATCGTTGTTCGACTAATCGGTGTTAAAAATAGAAGTTTGTGCCAAGCCCAAGATTGTAGCAACATCAGACATCCACCGATATCTGTTGTATTAATATTATTGACGATTACTGACGCCTTGCACATCTCACGGTACAAGAACGCCAATATCACAAATCCCGAACTACACTGACGCAGGTCCTCAAAATTTCTCAAAAACGGGAGATATTGTGTGTGAACCACATTACCAGATTTATCTGACATCAAAACTCTCCCAATCAACTGCAAGATATACAATCGAGTTGCATATACAATTTCTTCTCGGGTACTATTTTCTTGGAGTTGAAATTGATCCTCCAACCACAACAGCCTCAAAACACCACCCTTTTAAATTTGGGCTTACTGTTGTCTGCCCAAGAAATTCATTGCAAAGTGTTTTCACGATATTGTAATCATTTCTCATCACCACCAGTATCCCATTTTTTTGGAAGGCCACATCTTCTAGGGTTATCGTGCATTCTCCGCACGAAAAATGAAATATATGTGTTTCTGGTCTCCAACGTTCAATCAATGCACTTATCAAACACGGGACCAACTTATACTTTCGAAAAAATGTAACATAATAAAATCCAGCCTCTTCCAGGTGATCTTCAATCAAAGGGTGTGGCTTAGCAGGAATATTGATCCGATGATGGTGGACTCATTGCTCGTCTTCCTACAATTATAATATTCACGATTAATCATAAAATAAACTTCTACCATTTACTAATAATATTTTATTAAATAATAGTAACACAATTGCTCCCAAATGACTAGAAATATGTTGAGTGTCAAGATGAAGTAGTTGATTTTGTTTTGTTATTTCAACGAATCTGTATAAAAAAATAATTTTAATAACATTAACAATTTAAATATAAACATTATTATAAACAAAACTAATTTAACCTAAACTCGGTAAGAGATTAAAAAATCAATAAAAAAATTACTTGATTATTTATTCTTCTTCCTTTCTTCATTCTTCTTTTCTTTCTTCATTCTTCTTTTCTTTCTTCTTCTTCATTTCTTTTTTCCTTCTCCTATTTTTCTTTCTTCTCCCGGTGCCCTCTCCCTCCTATACACTCCCCTATATAAATCTCAACCCAACCCCATTATTACCCAACCAACCTGATTGCAGCATTATTGTTGCTATTATTGCAGTTGTAAAAGTTGCATGCAGCATGTGGATTGCCATGCAGAGCAGTGTCACGGATTGGGGGAGAGACACGTGGAAACCAACCCAAATAACCTGATTGCAACATTATTGCTGTTGTAAATGCTGCATGCATGGAGCATGCAGACTGCCATGCAGGGAGGTGTCACGGGGGGGACGCATGGAGTGCAATGCGTCTAGGGGGAAAGGGGAAAGACACATGGAGTGCAATGCATCTTCGGGGTGTTGGGAAAGACGCATGAAGTGCTATGCGTCTTCGGGGGGAAAGGGAGAGACGCATGGAGTGCAATGCGTATTTCGTGTGTATTGTAGCAATTACCCCATTTGAAGAAATAATTTTGAGAGTGTATTATTTTACGAAATAAAAAAACCAAATGCATTATCTAAAAAATCAACCAATTTTAAGAGAATATAAACCTATAAAATTTTATAAGGATAAAATAATTTTTTAATAAAAAAATATTTAAAATATATAAAATTTTAAAATCTTTAAGGGAGACGGTATTCTTCATCCATGATCTCTCACCCCGTTCCTGACCACAATGTCAAAACCGATAGGGTGCTGGGATTATGTAACTTGGATCCAAAATGGCAGTTGAAATTAAAATAAATAAATAAATAATGATTGCTCAAATTTGGATCCAAAATGGAATTTAAATACAGCGGACAAAGAGGGCCCCGCGGTTCTACCGTAGTCCAATTAGCATTGTTTTGGAACGCTCCAGCTAATTCAAGTCAAGTGTGGGATGATAAACCACTCCCCATCTTGTCTGCGTCATGTTCTTTCCCACTTCCCCAAAAGGACAGGACCCAGACCAAAACCCAACAATGTTGTCCTCAACCTCAAATCTGCTCCTCCGGGTGTGCTCGGTTCTTCTGGTACTTGGCACTGTCGCCGCCACTGACCACATCGTTGGTGCTAACAAAGGCTGGAACCCTGGCATCAACTACACCCTTTGGGCGAACAATCAGACCTTCTATGTCGGAGACTTCATCTGTACTCTCTCTCTCTAACTATCAGTTTGCCTTGAATCTATGGTTTTCTACTATTTCACTTTCCTGTTTTCTAGCGAAAATAAGGGGAATATGAAAAATGGGTAATGGGTTTCCCCCCTAAATGAGACACTAGTTAATTTTTGTGGTGGGTGTACTAATATCAACTGCTAAACAGTGGTTTTGGGGTTATTGCAGAAGTAGCCATCTTTCCTGAATCTGCATTTTCAATTTGCAGTTTGGCACTAGTTTGTGTATGACTTTTTTATTATTATTATCAGATCTAGTTAGAATACCTTAGAAAATCCAAAACTATTGCTTATATTGGATCAACGCAATACATAATACTATGATATTTACTCGGCCTTTCCTTGCAGCCTTCAGGTACCAAAAGACACAATACAATGTGTTTGAGGTGAACCGGACCGGGTATGACAACTGCACAACGGAAGGAGCATTAGGGAACTGGAGCAATGGCAAGGATTTTATACTTCTGAATAAGTCCCTGTAACACCCCAAACCGATGCGAGTAGCCCGATCCGATTCGGGAAGTCACATTAGGACCACCGGAGCGACCCACCGTAAAAATAGCGAAAATTTTAAAACTTTTTATCAGAACATGTAACTTATAAAATCATTTATCACTATTTAAAAATAAAACAGATTTCCAAACTCGTATATAAATCAAAATACAATTACATGCCCCCTAATCACAAGTACCATACTCTGCAACCACGCCGGTAGAACTCCCTTACTGAAGTCGATAGATGCATTGGTACAATTGTTTTAACCTGAAAATGTGAGTAATAGAGTGAGCTTTGGAAAGCTCAGTAATACAGAACTACCAGATGATGCTACATGACATGTAGATAAATGGAAAGTCATATAATTTCCTTATTGAATCATACGTATACCAGCTTGCAGAATAATTTGGGGTTCCCTTAGAAGTTCATCGAGTAGAAACCATAAATCTCAATTCATAAGAAACCTTTCAAAGTATGACATTTTCAGGAGATCGAATAGGATGTCTAGTGTGTTCCAACTGTATAATAAAATCATAATAGGTACAAATCATAGTCCAGTAAATCTCACAATTTCGTAAAAGAGTTTAACTTTTGAAAATCATAGTTTAAACCCTTTTCTGGTACACTATCAGTAGTTCCCAAAAATTATTTTCCATATAGCTTACTTTATGCACATAGCAAAAAGAAAGCCGACTTAAGGATAGGCTATGAAGCTTGTATCCTTAAGCCCAAGTCAATAAGTCCATATAGCTTACCCTAAGCACACAGCAAAGGAAAGCCGACCTAATGAAACATCTTGGGGGCCCTCAAGAGTCACATTAGGCCCATTTAGCTTGATCAGAGCTATTCCATCGTAATTCAATTCCAAAATTCAATTGCACCGTGACATAAATTCCATAAATCCAAAAAAATGGTAATCATATACCATTTCAAAGCAAAAATTAGATAGCAGCCATATTCCATAAATTGTCACATAAAATTGGTGCATCCATAAAACAATAACCAATGAATTCGGTGTACCACATATTAAAACCAATAAAACAGTTCAGTAATAAGTAGGGAACACACTAGAGAATCCAAGTATTTCCAGAGGCCATTGTAGTTATCATTTTGGATAACATGAAACTTATGAAATTTGAACGAATTCCTGGAACAAGGTCCTATTGAGGAGAATCGATTACTAACCGATCTAGCCAGACATTTAATGTTGATACATTAGAATCCCACTATATTTTCGTGTGCTTTAGGAAAACGTTCAGGAACCTTTATACATAATAATTCTAAATTCAGATTTACTGCGAGTGATTCCATTACCCAAACAATCAGGGGTATTCAGGAATATACTTTAAATTCATAGGATTTCAGCCCAATTGAACCAAATGAGATATTCAGAATCTTTTCCATCTGCGTTACTTGTTTTTTTCTTTTCAAACATGATCGAAGTGATTTTAGATGAAATATAGAATCGAAGATTCAAGTCATTTACAATCTACGACTATCGATCATATTATCAAACAACTCGAGTTACACAACTCTCAAACTGATGCATGTCAACAAGTCAATTCATTATCCTTCCAGTGTATTCACTCTTTAATACCATAGTGCAGATCCATAGATCATCCCCATAATCATCACTGAATAAATCTTCCAACGGTCTTTATTTCATTTCCATGTTTCAACAATATCAGGAAATACTGACGTACTTGATCCATGGCTCATAACCCATAATGACAATTCATCATGTAAGTTCAACAGTGTTTCCAAACTCATCAAATCACCTATTTAATCCTTAGTCATTGATGTTACTTAGTTCGTTGGTAAGCAAGTCTAACCCGATTACTTTAAAGTTTTCCAGAATAATTCAGACGTTTCTGAATTTCAAATACAGGTTGTACTTCATTTCATTTCAATTTATTCATATAATAAGTCATTCTGGTATTCGTGGTTGATTTGACTAACGACTACCCACTTATTAGTACTGTATGCGCTCTAGAGTTGAGCTGCGCCAAGTACTTCCAGAATTATCATCGATCCAAATTTGAGAAGATGAACAAACATTCAAGTGATACTTATATCATTCAGGTAATGATATAGTACTAACGTTGGTTAATCACTTAAGTTGCGTTCCACAACTTTTACTGGTAGCACAACATCCATGTTTATTTGGATTTCTTAATTAATCCAAGACATTTACTTATTCTAGGTCATAAGGGCATTTTGGTCATTTTGGTGCTTAACATTTTTTTCTATTCATTTCAAAGCTTGAGTATATCCATTCATTCCTGAGCTTGGTGACATTCTTGAGTCATTTCCATTCCAGGGGTAATTTGGTCATTTTATAATTCTAGAATATTTCAATCATTTCCTTCCATCCGGTCTTATTATTTAATTCAATCTTATCATTTACTTCAGTCCTTTCGAACAATTCTGTCAGCAGAATACCTCCGATAAATTACTCTTCAAATATTTACTCCTTATTCGAATATTTTCGGGTCAAGTGTCTTCTCAGATTTTACAAACGGAATATTATAAATTTTTCTGTACAAAGACAGGATCTTAACAATTAAATTCGTACTTAATCGAGTTAAGTACAAATCCTCAAAGTACTCTCTCATTCAGGGTCAATTCAGACTATTTTATCCCTCAAGGGCATTTTCGTAATTTCTTAACCAGATAATTTCAATATTAGCTCTTAACGAAAATAATTATAATTTAGAGATCCTATGATCAATTGCTTTCCCGAACATTCTTTGATTTTGAAATGATTCCTTCACAAACTCTCATAGGATTAAAACCGGTTATCCATAATTTCCAAATAAAACTAACATTATCTTATTCATGCATTTACCAATATCAACATGTTCCATAAAGCATAAAGAGGTAGTAAAGTATTACCTCGATTTCCGTGCAATACTGATCGACCATAAAAATTCCATTCGAACGCCTTTGATCTTTAATTCAACTTCCAATAATTCCTCAGATACATATCAATATAAATTTCATAAAAAAACGAGGCTTAATTCCGAAAAAATGGATCGAATCGGATGATTAATCAGTGAAAAACAACTTATCGGTTTGAATTTGGCGAAACGAACCTCAAAATCGGAACATCAACAAAACCCCTAATAGTAGTCTTAAATTCCAGCTCACCAACTTGATTTCTACCTTCCAATCTTTTTCTAACGAACACGGATAATTTATCGTAAAAATACGACTTCCAATAATTTTCTTTGCCATAAAAAAATAACTTATTAGAATCTAATTAAAAATTTGGAAACCAAATTGATAAAACTAAAAACTTATGGAGCCACTATATATATTCAATTACTAAAATCAAGGACTAAATTGATCTTATTGAAACCATTATGTCATAATCATAACAATATGGAAACTAGAAAACAAGGTTAGCTTTTACTAAACTTGGATGATTCACCTAGTAATTTACCGTTTTTTTCACTTTATCAATAATTCTTTCAAATCACGTGTGCTCTGAACAAATGCAAAACTTTTATACTTCAACACATTTAATATATTCAATTTTTTTTTAAGCTTTACCGTGTTCTCAAAGTGAAGCAGGAAAGCTTCAACGACCAACAGCCAAACGCGTTGACCACCACGATGGTCGCCGTCGCCGGTTGTCGGTCTAACCTGTAACTCCACCACTTAAGAATCTTGGTCTCCTCGTCAAGAATACGGACTCCAATCATCAAGAAACTCCTTGGATAATCGTAAATCTACAAGAGAAGTTTCGGCCATCGCAAGCTTCAACTTCCCCGATCTCCTTTGTTTGCCGATGGATAGAGTCACTTCCGAGATATGTTGGTCGCCTTGTTGTTGGGAACATCTCCACCGATACTATTTCTCAACGGTCGTCCAGACCATTGGAACCGAGAACCAAAAGTTTCGTTGAGAACAATCAGTGATATTTGCTGCCATTTAAATGGAATAATAAGGTCACCTTCTATTTTATTATAAAAATAGATATTGTTGTTGGAAAATGACAAAGCAATTAATTTCTTTAATTGATTTCCAGCTTGGAGGATACTTGCCGAAAATGAAAGCTGGAAGCAATGGGTTCCAGACAATGCCATTATCACTAATCTAATCCACCCAAAAATTTGTCCATTTATACCTACTATATATTATTTCCAACCAACTTTATATCATTTCACATTTTAAACCATAAGAAATCTAACCCCATATTGGGGTGTGACAGTCCCAGTGGTACTACTTCATTTGTGGCAATGGCCAGTGCTTCAATGGCATGAAGGTTTCGGTCTTTGTTCAACCCCTGCCTTCCCCCACTGCCTCACCCGTTCCCCACCATGCATCAAACAGCACCAGTGCCGCTGGACTGGTTGTGTTGCCGAGGGGTTTGGCTGGTTTAAGGGCTTTGGCTGTGGCATTAGCTTCGATTTGGTTTGGATCTGGGTGGATCTAGCAGGAGTTTCAGCTCGTTTGTTTATGCTTTTCTGAAAGAACTGCCTTTTCTTTTTGTAATTGTTTAGTCAAACTGTGTGGTGTTTCAGTGATGGAAGTGATCAACTTGAATTCCTACTAATTTATTACCGTTATTTATCACCATTGATTGTAATAATATTCATTGTGTTTTGTAATCGTGAAAAACAACATAATTTGCTACAAGGACATCGGTGATAAATGTAGTATTAACCCTAATGTAAACTCCTGGTACTGATTACACTTGAATCATAATTTTTCAAGAGCCCATGGACCCTCCATCTGCAGTTGTTTACCAACCGCACTGAGAAAGTGCTTACAAGTTGGAATATCTCAATGTTTAGAATAGTTTATCTTAAAAAATCACTTTTCTATCTTTATCGTGTCATATATGATATAATTCTCTAAATTCTAAAATAATTTTTCACTATGTATGAAAAGATGCATTGAAAGTTGGGTTACACGAGATAACAGCTTTATTAATATTTCTAGTGAGGACTTGGCCCCTCGGAAGGAAGACAGGGTCCTTACTCTTTAGTTTTAGATTAGGTTTGTGAAGTTTAAAATAGTTTCTTGTGAAGTCGATATTAAATTCATATTTAGTAGGTTAAAAAAAGTGAATTGGAAACTTTGGATTTAACGATGGACGACGATGAAAGTCGATAATGGCCGATGACATCAAATGATAATGCTCGACGACAGTGATCGAAGATAGGACTTCAATCAAATTTCAGAGTTAAATAAATATTTTATCTAAAGTTTAGGATCAAATTAATATTTTATCTAAAATACAAAGATCAAGTTAAAATTCAATTAATCTTATTAACGTGCCACATTAATAAACTAATTGAAATTAATGATTCAATAAAATAAAAAAATCGAAAAAAACCAAAATAAGAAGAGGAAAAAAGAAAGAGATAAAAATGTAGTTTACAATTATTTTATACAGCTTTTGATAGATTTTTGGTTAACATAGTTCCCCACCTGACTGCCATTTGAAAATATTGGCTCTCAATCAAGAACTACTGCAAAGGAACCTATGATTAGAGTTTTATCTTCGTATTTTTTCCCAGTTAATTAATGAACAAACGAGGTATCTTCTCCAAATCCTCAATCAACACTAACAAACTTGTATTACTTCATCCATTTTGCTTCTCGTCATCACCCACTTCGCAGCCTAATCATGTCTCTGCTTTCATTGCCTCCCTCCAATCATGCGCCCATCAAAAGAACCTCGCACGAGGCAAGCAACTCCATTCTTACATGCTCAGGAATGGTCTCCTTCAAGCCTCCCCTGCATCTCTCACCAGCCTCATCAACATGTATTCCAAGTGCAGCCAAATGACACATGCCCTCTCCTTATTGCAATCTGCCCCTCAATGCCCAAATATATTTTCTTTTAATGCGATCATTTCTGGGTTTATCACGAACGAAGATCCCTTTAAAGGGTTGAAGTTTTACAGGGAAATGAGGGTTCTTGGTATTTTCCCTGACAAATACACGTTTCCATGTTTGCTTAAAGGTTGCTGTGATATTGTGGAAGTTTTAGAGGCTCGGAAGATTCATGGGTTGGTTTTTAAACTTGGGTTGGACTTGGATTTGTATGTGGGGAGTGGATTGGTCAAATGCTATTTGAAGTTCTCATTCATGGAAGATGCTGAAAAGGTGTTTGATGAATTGATTGTGAGAGATGTTGTGCTTTGGAATGCTATGGTTAATGGGTACGCGCAGGTTGGGCAGTTCGATGACGCTTTGGGAGTGTTTAAGAAGATGTGTTTAGAAGGAGTAGCATTGAGTAGTTTTACTGTTACCGGTGTTTTGTCCGTTTTTGCAATGACAGGAGACATTGAGAATGGGAGGGTAATTCATGGGATTGTCGTGAAAATGGGTTATGGTTCGAGTATCATAGTGTCAAATACTTTGGTTGATATGTATGGGAAGTGTAAGTGTGTCAGTGAAGCCTTGAAGATTTTCAAAATGATGGATAACAGGGACATTTTTTCTTGGAATTCAATATTGTTTGTTCACGAACAATGCGGTGACCATGATGAAACATTAAGACTTTTTCGTGCAATGTTAAGGGGTGGCATTCGGCCAGACCTGATCACTTTGACCACTGTGCTTCCTGCTTGCACTCATTTGGCAGCATTGATATATGGTAGGGAGATTCATGCCCACATGATTATTAATGGGTTGACAAATATGGAAATGCTGAAGATATCAATGATGTTCTTATCAACAATGGGATTATGGATATGTATGCCAAATGTGGGACTATGAGAGAGGCTCACTTGGTTTTTGATAAGATGAGCCACAAGGATGTTGCATCATGGAACATTTTAATCATGGGTTATGGCGTACATGGCTGTGGAAGAGAGGCATTGGATATGTTTTCGCTCATGTGTGAGAATGAATTTAAGCCTGATGATGTCACATTTGTGGGTATCCTGTCAGCCTGCAGTCATGCTGGCTTTGTGAGCCTAGGACATGAAATTCTTGGGCAAATGAAGTCAAAATATGGCGTTGTTCCTACCATAGACCATCTTACTTGTGTTGTTGACATGCTTGGTCGGGCTGGCCAGCTTGAGGAGGCATATCAGCTGGCTCTAACATCGCCTACTGGTCCCAATGCTGTTGTATGGAGGGCCTTGTTGGCAGCATGCCGGCTCCATGGAAATTCAGATGTAGCTGAGGCTGCTGCAAAGCATGTGTTTCAGATTGATCCCGAGCATAGTGGTAGTTATGTATTAATGTCCAATGTTTATGTGGCAGCTGGCAAATACAAAGAAGTATTGGATGTTAGAAACATGATGAGGCAACAAAATGTCAGGAAGTTACCAGGGTGTAGCTGGATTGAAGTCAAGAATGGAATACATGCCTTTATTAATGGCGATCGAACACATCCTAGATCAAACTCTATTTATGACGGATTGCACTCATTGACAGCTCTTTTGCAGGAACATGACTATGTGCCAGAGTTATAGGGTCAACTTCGTGCAGGATATATTCTCATATACATGTTCGTTTTAAGTACTCGTATTCGAAACATAATTGACATGCATCTTATGCTCTGGAATTGCAATAATCCGTTCAGCACATCTTGAATAAGTGAGAGAATTGATCAAATTCTTTGCTGATGTGAGTCCTGATAACGTAGAATATGAATAATATGTATGCTAGGTAAAATTGTAACATGTTATGTACATGAGTTATAAGCATCTTTTGTTATAGAAATCATGGACAGGCTAAATAATAAAAGACGAATTTATTAATAAATCACAAAGCTTATATTAACATTCCAAACTTAGTCTTTTAAGATCAATTTAAAACGCACCATCATTTAAATATTTTACTTTTGGAAAGGCCAATAACCGTAATAACTAACCGTTAAACCTCCCCAGAATATAACATAAATTTCTCTCTAATCTCTTCTTCTCTTTCTCGTTTGGTCAAAACCTTGGCTTCTTCCAGCCCTAATTTTGCGTTTGTTTTTCCTTTCTCCTCTTCTGATCCTCCTGCATTGTATATTCCCATGGCACCAACCAGGAAATAATTACTGTAAGTTATATGTAATTTTAATTTTTCATTAAGAATGTAGTTAATACAACGTAGTGCATGCAATATAACGTCATATCGTAGTTCATTTGTTTTTCTTTTAATAATTTGCTACGTTGTTTAGTTTATGAATTCTCTGAATTACATTATATTGTTTCTTTTTGTTTGTTCTTTCTGGTTATACATAAGCTTTGTTACCAATACCAAAATTTTGATCAATGTGAAGTGGAACCCGTGGTTTGCATAACAACAAAATATGCGCAAACAATTTTTGAGAAATAATTAAAATCTTGTACATATATATTAGAAAAAGTGTCCAACAAGAACAAAATGGAGGGAATTTTGGTATTTATCTTATTTTATTAATGATCAGCGTACTTAAAAGAAGTTCGCCTTATCAGCTCCCCCAAAGCATTGCAGTATCCGCATCTTGTTTAAGGATCACAACTTTCATGGCTGAAACTCAACCCTCTTTATTTTTGCTTTCCCTCATTATCATTCCGACAAATTTCGGGAAATTTTGTCAGGCAAGATTGGGTGTGATTTTTGATATATCTATAAGACTAACGGGACTCGATGTGGCGAAACACATGATCCTTCTGCAAAATGTTTGGTGGTGCTTACAAGTCTCAGCTTATTGGAGGTCAGAAGGAGAAATTTGTTAGGTACTAATCAATATACGGTATATAACTTTATCTTCGTTTGAATTTATGGTTCAGAAAATGGTTTAGTATGGATGCAGTTTTAGGCTATTATTGTTACAATCTATATCTCTAAACTAATGCCTGTATCCTTGACTATAGGTTGGATGATTTAGACTCTCCGATATCAATGGCGTCTGGAACAGGAGGACTGAAGATGTGCGGACTTAATGTAGATGGCTACAAATACAGAGAGCATGGAAAGAAGGCGGCATCAAAAAAATCATTTAATATAGGGATGATGAAAGGACCAGGAGGGTTACTAACACTCAGTCGCAACCTCAAATCTGAGGTCACGCGAGTTGTGTTCCCGGAAGATCTCCGAGTGTCAGATAAGATGATATTTGATCCCCAAGATAAATCTATTTTGCTATGGAATAGATTCTTTGTTGTGTCTTGCATTCTTTCAGTATCTATTGATCCACTGTTTTTCTATCTTCCCAACTTTAATGGTCGAGCACATTGCCTTGGAATTGATGTAAGATTGGGAATCACAACCACTACCGTTCGGACAATTATCGATGCTCTCTACCTCATTCGTATGGGTCTGCAGTTCCGTACAGCATATATTGCACCATCATCAAGGGTTTTTGGACGAGGTGAACTTGTGATAGATCCTGCACAGATAGCCACACGATATTTAAGTCGTTATTTCATTGTTGATTTTCTTTCCGTGCTCCCCCTGCCACAGGTTTGAGAAACTACTTGCTTCAACAATCTCTATACCTAGACTTGTGCTAGTAGTTTAGAAAATGCTATTACCATTAGCTACTTTGAAAAATCTATTGAAAGTTTAATCACTGAATTTCATGTTTGTGGTAGTTCGCAGTTGATAAGATTATCTGCTTTGCAGACTTGGATTCCTATATATAAGAATGTGGTGCTTCATTGTACAACATATATAAGAATAATATAAGTATATTACTCAAATAAACTATCTCCAATACTTTTACAAAATTTAAAAAAAAAATCCCATTTTTTTATGTTGCTGATCTGATCATACTTTCCTGCACTGTAGGCTTTGTTGCATTTACTCGATAGATCCTTACTGCATTTTATCAAGGGTCCTGATTTATTCTTATATCAATTGAAAAAAAGCAATTTTACATGAAAACTTGAGGCTAACATTGTAAGAGAAGTTATGGTAGCACAACATGCTGCATGCAGCTGTCTGTTTTGAATTGCATAGGAGGAGAAATAGTTCTTTCTCTTATTTGCTTCCTTATCTGCAGTTTGTGGTGTGGAAATATCTTCACAAGACAAAAGGTTCGGAGGTATGGGCGACGAAACAGGCATTGCTAATCATTGTATTTCTTCAGTATATTCCTAGGTTTCTTCGCTTTGTACCATTAACTTCAGAATTGAAGAAGACAGCCGGTACTTTCGCTGATAGTGCTTGGGTTGGTGCTGCATATTATCTGCTATGGTACATGCTTGCCAGTCATGTAGGTTATCAGTTTGCTATTACATGAGCTTGTTATTTTTTGCAATTCTAAAAACTAAATAGCTTCTGCATATTGTTGTATTTTCTTCCTCAAACTGGTTGCATTGGTCTATTTAATATACGACACCGGACTGATTTGACTAGTTTGAGATGGAATATGCAGATAGTTGGTGCAGTTTGGTACCTGCTGGCTATAGAGCGTAAAGATACATGCTGGCGAATTGCTTGTCAAGAAAGTGAAAAGTGCAGCATAGATTTCTTGTACTGCGGCAACAAGCATATGCATGGTTTCCCAGAATGGCGAAGGGTGAGAAACAAAGAACTTGATAGCCAATGTTCTCTTGAATCTAATGATGCACCTTTCGATTATGGGATCTACACACGAGCTATAACATCAGAGATTACTTCATCCACCGAATTTTTCCCTAAATTTTGTTTCTGTCTCTGGTGGGGTTTACAGAATCTAAGGTGGGCACTTTCTTTTCAACCCACATAACCACGCATTTTTATTGTCTTATCTATTTTATGTTTGTAGAAAAACACAAACTCTGTTAGCAAGCTACCAAAATACTTGAATTTGGGTTGAGTATGTTAACTTTTTGAAGTCCCCCCCCCCCATGTATTTGGAGGATCCTTGAAGTGTCATATCTCGATACCCATATACAAACATACCTGGGATATGAGTGTGAAACATATGATTTTTTTTTGACAAACATTCCAAAGAATGAAACAAAACATCAGGCCTTGCCTAAATGGATAATGATTTTTCTCTTAATTTTATTTGGTAACTTTATGATTTTCCATTTCAAACGATATTCAGGCTATATATGTGGTTGGTTCTTGCAGGATAAAAGAATTATTTCTGCTTGTTTGATGTTTGAGTTTCGTATAGTTTGTATTAGATTCTTTTATTCTACTCCTGGGAGTTGCATTCACTGATCAACATTCATTTTGTTTTCTGCAGTACACTTGGTCAGGGACTTGAAACCAGCACATATTCAGGAGAGATTCTCTTTTCCATAGCAATAGCTATCTTTGGGCTTATCCTCATGGCACTTTTGATTGGAAACATGCAGGTAAATTGAAAAACTTTGCAACGTTTGTTAATTTCCAAAATAATTTTGGTCATCAAAATGTTAAGTCCTTGAATTTCCATTTTTCATGCTACTCTAAGTAGTTGGAAGTCATAAGCCTGGAAGTGCCCGAACCTAGGATTAGGACCAAACCAGCACTTGGACAGTTATGAGCATGATTCTCAAAGCTTCCAGAAATGGCTGGAAATTAACTGTCAAGTGATTATTACACGTTTACCTTTGGAGGAAGAGGAAAACAAACAAAATAAAACTTTAGCCTATACTGCAATTCTGAAGTTTGAAGTCTTCTTGTGATTGCAACAGACCTACCTTCAGTCTCTCACAGTTCGTCTTGAGGAAATGAGGATCAAAAGGCGTGACTCTGAGCAATGGATGCATCACCGTGCACTTCCCGAAGATCTCAAGGAGAGAGTTCGGCGCTATGACCAATACAAATGGATGGAGACTCGTGGAGTTGACGAAGAAAACTTAGTCCAGAGTTTACCAAAAGATCTGAGGAGGGACATTAAGCGACATCTATGTTTGAATCTGGTCCGAAGGGTAAGGATCTCTATGCATTTTTTCTTGCTCTCCATCAACCAACTGTTAATGTCTCTTTGGGCAACATATGAATCATTAGAGAATTTCCGTGGGTGACCTTAATGTAAATTTCATGCTTTACATGTCAAAAGTCGTGCATTGCTTACCATTCCTTGCCCGTTCAACATCTGCTTGGTCATGTATCTGTCAAGAGGGAGTGCCAAAATTGTATTCCCATTAGACTCTCCACCTTATTAGTTAACTTTGAGGTTAGGTTTGAGTTTCTTTAAACTCTTGTTATGGTATATGCAGGTTCCTCTGTTTGCCAATATGGATGAGAGATTGCTTGATGCAATCTGTGAGAGACTCAAACCAAGTTTATACACAGAAAACACTTACATAGTCCGTGAAGGGGATCCAGTAAACGAGATGCTTTTTGTTATACGTGGTCGCCTCGAAAGTGTGACGACAGATGGTGGGAGGAGCGGTTTTTACAACAGAGGTTTGCTGAAAGAGGGGGACTTTTGCGGTGAGGAGCTCTTGACTTGGGCGCTGGACCCCAAAGCTGCTTCCAATTTGCCATTATCTACTCGAACAGTCATGGCTTTAACCGAGGTGGAGGCTTTTGCTTTGGTAGCGGAAGAGCTGAAATTCGTTTCGAGTCAGTTCAGGCGTCTCCATAGTAGGCAGGTTCAGCACACCTTCCGGTTCTACTCGCAGCAATGGCAGACTTGGGCTGCCTGTTTCATCCAAACCGCATGGCGCAAGCATGTGAAAAGGAAAGAAGTGGAACTTAGACGCAAGGAAGAGGAGGATCTAGACTATATTTATGATGATCAGCAAGCCTTAATTGATCCAACTGATAGCACTGCAGAATCCCACAGCCTTCGTGCAACTGTATTTGCATCACGGTTTGCAGCTAATCTTCGCGGCCAAAAGGGTAGAGGCTCGACTAGTTCAAAGAGTTTGCTCAAGGTTTCAAAGCCAAAAGATCCTGATTTCTCCGATCTTGATTCTGATGGGTTCGGCGGTAAAATCAATTGAGCTATTTTGGCTCCATACTTGAACGGGTTCAAGCTGTTTTGGCATCTGTTACGAATGCAGAAACAAATTATGTACTTTAGTTTATTCTCGTTTAACTTCGTCTCATGTATTTGCCTGCTAACTTTTTTTTTAAGAAACAGACACAACAAAAGTCAATATTAGAATGTTAAATCTGCTGGATTTTACATGGTGAGAACATGTATCCAAGACATAAGTCTTGGGTTAGAACAATGAGATTAATGTTGCTTGAAAAATAGTTGTATACTATTGATCATATTTATATTTATAGTTGAGCATGACACTTTGATTTTTTTACTTTGTTCTTAATACTAACCTTGAACAAGTTTAACATTACATAAGACTGGTGTTTATCAAGAAGTCATACGAACAACCTGGAATTTCACTTTATTTCCTCATTACTGTCTTCTCCAGTAGTCTGAATCAAAGACTACAAAAAACCGCAATAACAAGTTCTTGTTACTTGTGTAAAGAAGGGGCTTAGATACAGGGGAGTGTAATATTAAGGGTTTAAAAGAATTCTATAAGAAAAAAAATGTTCCATGCATCATCAAACTTCACCATCTATATGTGAGATGTCTCGTTGTATTTAACATTCACTCGGCTACTCAACTATGCCATGCAGAATATACCTCCACTTCAACATCCTCTTCCCACCAAGTTGAAGTCTGCAATAATAGATGACTTCATTAGTTTGGTTATCCTAATTACTATAATCTCTGCTACATAATATATATATCCACACTATGTTTCCAAATTATTTGTATTTTTTAATACTACTAATTTCAGAGAATGCCAAGCTGAAGTTTTATGGAACATTAAGGCCTGATGATGTAAAACCGGAAGGGAAAAGAAAGTTGGAAGTTTGTTTAGGCAGGAATAGAGGATATTGCTATGAGCATTCAATTTAAGAATCTCAAATGATACACATGGTAGTGTAAAAGAGAAAATAAAACAGACGAATAACCTTGTAGCCTCTACGAAGAAATTCTAGTTGTCTTCCTTGTTCCTCTTGCAATCCAAGGACCCGCAGCAGTTCTTCCTTGGTCTAGACAAAACCAATATTAGTCATCGGAAATAATGCAATACAAAACGACCATGATGGAGCAGTTCAACGGTAAATTTCAAGAAGGTTTACTTGCACATCAGGATATTGGCGAAATAGTGCTCCACCGTAGTTCACAACAAAAGGTGCAACAGCTACAGTCTTACAACATTTAGAAAGAAAATGGTCATTAGAACTGTGTCAGAAATTAAACTCAATGGAGCAAAACAATGTATTTAACAACTACCTTGGAGTACTCCCTGATTCGTATATAGAACACGGGGATGAATCGAGAAAGAAATTGATAGTGCAAATCTTTGGGAGGAAATCCCAAAAGACCCAAGTCAGCACTGCAAACATAAGCAGCCCCAATCAAAAGTAAATCCACTGATCATTATTGAATCCTCATTAAAAGGTGAAAAGTAGTAAAATTTATACCGCAAAGTGTCAAGTTCAAGATTGAATAGAAGTGTTGGGGTTGACGGAGCATATTTTTCCAGCAAAATCAAAGCACGGTCACACAAACAGGAAGAAATAAAGACGTCATCGATGTGTTATTCCCCTAGGCTAAATTTTAACCATGTACTGACTCAATATATCTCGGTGAAAACCATTAAGGTTATTTCCTATTTGAAATAATCAGTGATCAGACCTGATTATTCATGTATATCAACTCATCAGATTTGCAGAACCAAGAAAGCAGAAGTGTGTAACTTCAAAAAGCCACCATTCGAAGGTCAAGTACGTAGCAAGCTATACGTGAAAAATAAATAGGCTCGTCAAAGGGGTGAAAGGCGTACAAAAGTATAAGAATCGTACCACATACTTCTCTATAGCAGAAAGTTCACGTGTGCTACAATTAATAAATATGTACAGAGTTGGTGGCTCCTTGGGTTCCCGACGACCTGCATTGTAGAATTGCAGAATGTTCAAAGTCTTGTGTGTAAATAGAAACAGGGTAAGAGGATATGAAAATTTGAAGCTATAAAGTAACCCAGTTCATTGGTAGATGGAAAGGAAAATTCCTACACAAAGCTTGACGTCCAGGAACAAACCTTCATTTTCATCTTCAAAATCAAAATCCAGAGTGTTCTTGATAGATTTGAAGAATGTGGTGACAGCAGCACTAGGGACATCATCAAGGGAGCCTATAGATATACCATCAACCTGAAAGGAAGAATCAAGAACTAAAATCCCTCAACTCCAAAGGCAACCATGCGTATAAATAAAGGACTATGAGTTTAAGGCATAAGGTTAAAAGTTACACAGTCCCTATATAAAAGCTATAACTGCATGAATAAACTGGTTATATATTTAAATATAAGTGCCAGAATTTATCGACCTTTTAACCATCTAAGGAATGAAATGCATATCGAGGCCAAATGACCAATGAGACACCACCATGTGTAATTCAGTGGCTGAAAACAACAAAACCCTTTCCATGGAGATGGAAAGAGTCCACCTTGACAGAGTGGCACAGAGAAATAGAAAGTAATATAGAGTAATTCATTTTATTAGCAAGTCAAGAGCTGCTTTGAAAAGCTCGGAGGCCCAGCGTTTTTCTGGCTTATTAGGAAACACCTGAACAAGAAGTAAGAAATTACACTAATCTTTGAAACGGAAAGAACAATTTTTCAGCAAAGTGAAAGTATCTTCTTACTATGCGAGCTCGAGTTTCCATTTTCTGTTGGAGTTTCCTGACAACAGCCAAGGCAAGTTGAATGTTGGCATCAATGAAATCATCTGAAGATCCCTTCACATATTTAGACATCAGATCAAATTATGTACTATAACAATTCTCCTTGAATATCCTCATCATTGTACAACATATTATGATTTATGAAAGCACTACTAAACTCCATTAAGGGTCGTTCAACTCATTTGAGAAGGGTAAAAATCAGGGCCGGCCCAATACATGTGCCTGATGGGCGACGGCCCAGGGCAGCATGTAGGGGCATCAGTTTTCACCATTAAGGCCACCCACAGTGAAGTCAACCTTCCCTTCTTTATTTTCAACTACAAGATCCATATCCATTATATCTTCGAAAGTTATTTTCATTGCCCGATCCACTACCCCTGGGTTTTGGACCCCACCCCTTTTATTCAACACTTGCTTAGGCTGTGGAAACTCTCCATCAGCAGCCACCAACTCATCCTAGGCCCAATCATCCCCAGTTGAACAGTTCATACATGGCTCCCACGTGTTTCTGTTGTTCACCATACAACCATCCTCATGCACAAACATATCAGCCGCCTATTTTTCTATTTGAAAGAAAAATGCTTGAAGACCAATTCAACATAAAAAACATAAATAAATGATTTCGTCATTAACAGGTAACTTGATTTAAAATAAATCGGTAAACGATTACAGTTCATCTTAAAATAGTTCAAAATCAATCGAAAACATAGATTTTAATTTAAAATTTGTATTGATTTGAAAATACAATTAATATTATAATTATTAAATTTTATTATTCATAATTTTTTTAGATAAATAAAAAAAACAAATGAACTATAAATAAATAAATAAATTATAGTTACAATTTCAAAAACAAATGAATAATTCATACCATAACAATTGAACTATATAATAATAATTATATTTTAATTTGATAAGTTTCAATAATTATCAAAGGATTTAGGTTTTTATTACCAATGATTATATGCATGAATGTATAAATTGTAAGAGAACGCAATGTCCAGAGTTGAAATGTTATATCTCCCTATTTCACCAATCACACAACGATATTTATATGTTTCTCCATCGTTCTAAAAAATTATGATGTAATTGCTCGGGGTGATATTGTTGTGAGCAAAGTCAACATGTGTGATAATCCTACGATTATGATAACCAAATTGTTACCTATAATCAAGTTTGAGCATTGCTTGGACTTAGTCAGCGTTCATTACTAAAGAGTACCTTTTTAAAAAAGTGTGTTATGAAAGACATTGAGAAAAGAAATCGTGTCAAAGTGAATATTGTTTGATTAAAAAAGGAAATTTAGTTAGAGTATGATTTCTTTTTATGCAACCTTCCTTTTATTTCCCATCCTTATAAAAAAATATTTATGTTTTATCTATTATACGGTACAAGTATAGGGGCATAACTTATTATCTCGTCCAGGGCATAAAATTATCATCTCGCCCAAGCATTAAAATTTATTGGACCGGCCTGTTTGTCACATTGAACTTATTACGTAGTCAGCAAAAATGGGATAGCTTTCGATAACTAAAGGGCAAATGGGAATCCGGGAAAAAGTTTTTGTAAGCCTCAAAAACCCAAACAAAAAAGAAACAAATCTTAAATTAAGAGAATGATAGAAAACGTACGGGAAATCAATCTCGAGACGGGTTTGGCCATCTTGAATAGCATAAGCAAGAGAGTTAGCGGCATCCGTTACGAGAACATCGTATGACTTAGGCTTGTAAAGCGCCACTCCTTTCTTGGGATCGAAGCTCTGCGTCGGTGGTGCTGATGCGGGTGGTGTTGCTTCCTTGTTGTCTTTGGTGGCGCATTGGATTTGAATTATTGGTCTGGGAGAGAAAGTGAGGAAACGATGAGAAGAAGGTAGGTAAATGGGAGTGAAGGAATGGCGAGGTGGAGAGATAGAGAGATGTGGAAAGAAAGAGATGGCTCTGGAAGCCATGGCCATGGAGCTGCTGAGCAGAGTTGGTTTTACCGAAAGACTCGAAGACAACAGAAATATGCTATGGAATACTTTTGTCTAAAATGGATGAGATTATATGTTACCCAGCTTCAGCCACGTGTATCTCTTTTTATAATCATAATTTCTTTAAGGATAAACTAAGTATTTAGTCATCCAACTATTATATCTGTTTTGATTTAGTCAATTAACTATTTTCTTCAAAATCATACCTAACGTTAAGGCTGAGTGTTTGACCAAGTAGAGTCAAAAAAAATTTAGTTATTCGAGTTGATGAGTTCTATTTTATAACTCAATTTTTTTTGAATTTTTTCGAGTCAAATCGAGTTTATAAAATTCGAGCAGAGTCATTTGAGTTTCTATTTAAATTTAATTATAAATATTTAAATACTATGATATTATTTTATTTCATTTTATATGATTTTCTATAATCATATACAATACATGTATATTTCTTCACATTTTTTCGTATGTCATATACGTATATCATATAAAAATTTGAGTTACTATTCAATTTATTCAAATTTTATTTTATGACTTGACTTGAATTTGAAAGCTGAATGGAGTTTATAAAATTATGAATCGAGTTCACTCGATTCAAATTTTTTAAGTAAAATTGAATTAAAATGATCTATTTTTCGAGTCGAGTTTTACTCACCCCTACCCATTATGTTTTAGTTTTAAAAATAAAAAGTAACAAAACAGTGATATAATTTTTTTAAAAAAAATCTTCAATAATATCATTACATTGTACATATCAAAACTATGACTTTTTTAGAAAATTATAATATTTATAAATTTCTTAAATTAATTTAAAATGAGAGTTTGGAAAATAGAAGAAGTTGCCATACTTTCTAGTACCAAGTCCAATCTCTCTGCAAATATGGCAGTACCCTTCGCATTACAGATTTTCCCTCTCAAATCCCAAATTTTGAAAATGCTAGCCGTTCCTCTATTTCTCCCTCAATCCCCTAATCCTTTCTCTTATATATTATTAACTATAATAATCTTCGATCCATTAATTTTCCAACAACATAGATTTTGAAAATCATTTTGTTGGGTTTCAATAGATTCTTGAGCAATGAGTTCTGGTCGTTGTGCGGCTTGCAGATATTTGAGAAGATTGCATTCTTTCACCTTATTTTCCGTCAAATAATCCCCAAAGATTTGTTACTGTTCATTTAATCTACGGTGCTAGTAATGTCTCGAAACTACTCCAGGTCTACATATATCTATTTTCTCATCCTGGGTTTTGGATTTATTGCTAGATTTTAACAGTCAATTTCCTTTTATTACATTTTTTTTCTTTGCAAATTCTAAATTCCTTTGCATTTAAAAATGTTTTAGTAACGATTGTCAATAGAATACAAGATTTATTGTCAATTATTATTGGTAATAATAACAGAAAGGGTGACATTGCTTGATATTTATCTGTTGACATTGGTTTCGATTAAGATTTTGGATATCAAGTATCATAGGACAATCAACGGGAGATGGTTGTTTTATGCATAGAATTATTAGTTTTTTTAACGAATTATACTGATCTTGACAATGAATGAGTGAAACACGTTGTTTAACTTGCTTTCCACTGGATAATCAGCGGCTCCCAACCCATGTGCGAGCTGAAGCAGCAGATTCCTTATACTTTGAGCCACGTTGTCGGCTTGAAGACCCTGTCTATGGCTGTGTTGGCCTCATTTTTGTTGCAGCAACAGATACATGCTGCAGAGAGTCAGCTAGTTAAGACTCAAGCTGAGATTGCAGTTATGAAATCCCAGGCCTAACACCCTCAACCTCATCAAGCCGAATCCAATCTCAATAATCCATTGCTGCAACAGTTAGATAATGATGCGAACCTCAGTTTCTCCAACCGAGTTTATTCTGGGTTTATTTAGGATTCCATGTGTTCGAATATGGCGAACAAGCTTCAGTCATCAAGCGGTATAAGTGACTCGACAATGGTCAAATTGAAATGGTTGCATATTCAAAGCCATAGTATTTTGTTTAGCTGAAAGAATATATATGTATATACATATCATCTATATATATATATATATATATATATGTATAGAAGGGAGAAAGAGAAAGAGTTGATATGATGTGATAACTAATGGTTTATGAGCTTATACCATATGATACTTTGTTTTTAAGATTTATTGTATGATATGATTCCATATTCCTTGATTTGGTCTGGTTTTTGTTCTGTTGCAGCACAACCGAATTCCAGCAGCAGCAGCAGCTATATCACCAACTGCAGCACCCCCACGTGAAGCAGTCCCATCCCTAGCTACCCTGCCATATCTCCGACAAATCACCACAGCCACCAATTACTCAACTGTAGCCCCCATGCTGCCAACACCAACTCAACGGCTATCCACCATGCCCTGCCACTAGCACCAAATCCAACACTCCACGCCTACCAAATCAGCAGTCAGAGCAACAATGTATAATTTTTTCTTTCATGTAAGGGATGGGTTATAAAACCTCAAAAACAGATTATAAGGGGGGCTCTCTCTCACCGGATAAAAAAAAGTGTGTAGTAAAGGGGCCTTGGCTCGCCGGTTCCTCCAAAAAAAAAGGGTGAGCATTTGTAATTTCTCTTCCCATTATTGGAAATCAGTACAACATTCAACGGTTGAATTTCCCCCCTTTTTTGTGTGCATTTTCTTTCTTTGTTTTCGAATCAAAAATAGAAAGAGGGGTCGTTTTTTACCTTTCTCGTTGGGGGTCTTCGTCACCCGTGTAGTCGGGTCGCCAGGCGCAGAAGTTTCGGCCTTTTTCGACGGAGTTGGAGTGAGGAGGCCACCGTAGTGGTGGCCGGCCAGTGGAACCTTGGTTCTCCTTTGGTGTGGCTGCCGCTCGTGGAAAAAGAAAAGGTAAGAGTGAAGAAGTTTGATTTTTGTTTTAGTTAAGGTTAAAAAGCCTTAAGTTTATATTTAGTTTTGTTTGGGTTAATAATTTAATAGTACCCCAGGCTTCACCTTTTATTTGCATTTTAGCCACTGGTTCGGGCTGTTTTGATCTTTAATTCGAATTGTTAGATCTAATGTGCTATTCCCCTTATTATTTTGTTTAGAAAATGCTCAGGTTTAAAATAGGGTGAATCTTGTTTTAGTCCCCCAAGTGTTGCCATGTTTTTCCATGTTAGTCACCGAATTTTTTAAATTTTTTTTATTTTGATTTTCGCATATTAATTTCATTATTTTACATTATGGTCACCTGTTTATATTTTATTTATTTTAATTTTGATGTGATGTTTTTGTTTATTTATATTTTGACCCTTTTATTTATATTTTGTTTATTTTAATTTTGATACATTGTTCTGCTTATTTACAATATGGTCACTTGTTATGCCTCTATTTTCATTTTTTTCATATTTGGCACATTATTTTAGTATTTTTACGTCTTAGTCCTGCAAGTTGCTTTGGTTTTATTGCCATTCCAGTGCTCCTGCTTCATGATATTTGCATTTTCCATGTTTCTTGCTATGTTCGTTGTTATACCCTCGAAGTTTTTATTTTTTTCCATTTAGTCACTTGTTTATAAACTTATTTATTTTATGTTATTTTTGTTATGGTATGTCATATTTGCATGTTTACATTTTAACCTATGTTATAATATTCATCTACATATTATGTTTCAAATGTACTTGCGTATGTACTAATTTATCTACTTTTATTTTATTTCATTACATACCCATGCCGTATAATATATACCTATATACATATATTTATTTTTACCGTTGTATATTCATATATATATATACAAATATATTACTAATGTTTATTCTATTTTATTCTGTCTGATTTATTTTAATTTGTAAAATATCTATTTGTCAATATTTTCATATCCCTTCTCGAATATTTTTGAGAATACTTGTTTGTTGAATGGGTGTAGAAAGTATTATTTGATCGAAGTAGTGTGATCCGATACGACATTCGAACAAAATATGAACTTGAAATAAATCGAGTTTATTTTACTAATTAATTCGTTTTTATTCAAATGATCAATGCATGTTTTTTTAATAGTAATTTTTCTTATGCAAATGGGGATAATCAATTTATACTTGATTTGTATTTTTTGATCAATAGAGGAGGGAATATTCTTTTTAAACAAGAAATAGAATGAATATTCTTCTTATCGGAGGATGAATAAATCTCGATATTTCTTTCGAATTAAAGTTTCTCTAATAAATAATTCAAAGTAAATTAATTAAACTTTTATAAATGGATGATATTTTAATTTTATATTCGATTTATAATTTCTAGTATCATGATAAAATATAAGCGTACTAATCTTTGGGCACTGTGGGGGTGTTATCTTTATTCACGTGTAATCGACTTTTGAACCTTTGAAAATGAATTTTTGGATAATGCAGATCAATTATTTGTCTTAAAAATGATTTTTTTTAAAAATATTTTAAAATATATTTTTAGTTATTCGATCTATTATTCAAAGGTCGATGGGGATTCACATTCAATTTAATTCAAAAATCTCAAATTTTGCAAATAAAGTTGTACTTGTTTTTTTTAAATGATATATAATTGTTTTAAGAAAAATGGCTATGACAGTACTCATGTCCAATGTTTATCTGGATATTACTTATAGGATATGATCTTCCAAGGACTCTTTAGCTGTTCCATAGATGAACATATAATCAACCGGGTTCGTCATGGGATATAAGTGTTCACATCATCTTCAAAAGGGTCCAGCCATGGGTTCTTTTTCTTAGCATGGGTTCGAACACTTTGTCTAGTCTTGGTGCATGGAGAGTGGTCTAGTGGCCTATAACATGGTGTCTTGGTGGTTAAGTGAGCAGAAGGAAGTGAAGATGGATTAGTAAGAAATGGAGAAACAGCTTTGGGTACTACAGCAGTAGCCATTGATTTTCTTTTTAATAATGATTTCTCCCTTTACTTCTGTTATATGGTTTTTCTTGTTGAAAGGAGAATCAATTTAGGGTATGAATGTGTGGAAGGAGCTTGGATAAGTGGGTC